CTGTCTGTCTGTCTGTCTGTCTGTCTGTCTGTCTGTCTGTCTGTCTGTCTGTCTGTCTGTTTGTACGGAAATTTATAACTCCTGTCCCCGTGGACCTAGGACGATGCAGTCACCACTTGAATCCTAGCGCCGTTGTTATTTACGATTTAGCTGTGAATCTTTGATATGTTTCATTCGACAAGAAGGGTAAGTGCATTGATAGGACCGATTATGGAATTTGGTTCACTTCTTGCTTACGACCGCTACCCAGCGAAGTTTGCGATTCGATGAAGGATCACGGTTTCCTTCTGCTTTGATATAATTCATGGCAAAACTTATCCGACCGCTAACAATCTTGGATTCCCATTTAATGATGTATCCGTAGTGAAAAGGAGCTACATTAATTAAGACATTTGATAATGGTATTATTATGACTCGACAACATTTGTGAGTGCAATTGAAGGCTTTGAATGCCTGCCTACCAATTGAATCTTTAGTGGGTCATTATTTTCAACATCAACAGCGACAGATCGAGACAGACAGATTCTAATTAAAGGCATGAGCATCGGCACATTTTGAATATCATTCGCATGTCCTATTGTTCCCCTATCGAACTTCGTGTACCGAAAAAGTATCATTCGTTCCAAAGAAGGAGCGTGCTGTTTGCCGTTTACCACTACTCTATCATAAGAAGGAGGAAAGCCCGGCTTAGCCGGGCGGTCTGACTGTCTCTATATATAAAGCGGTAATTTTGTGTGTCTGTTTGTGGATCAGTTTGTGCATCCTTCCGAAAGTCACTTAGGCACGACGAAGAGTGTGAATGTCAAGTGAGCGCGGTGAGGAAACAGATATGAAATGAGGAGTCAACCGATACTGTTTATGTTGGTTCTCTTACAAGTCGTAGGTAAGCGGGAGTGGGCATGTGGTGCATGCATCAGGGTGCGTAGCCCAACTGGTAATATAATAACAAGCGAGCTAGCGTTGCACTCCCCTTCATGTCAACCCTGGAACCCTTTCAATGACGGCAATGTAGGATGTGTCGTGGTCTTAGGTACTTTGTGAGAGGAGCTGATAACAACTGATAAGAACTGATAAGGGGCCTCAGATAGCAAAAGGGTATTTATGATCGAATACTGACTCTTTAAAATGTTCTGTTCAATAAGACGGGTAGATGCAGTAATAGCGACCGATCAAAGATTTCACCATAACGAAATGAGAACATTGTTCATTTCTTACTATTAAACTACGGCCGTTACGCAGCGAGCTTTCTAAGGCGATGAAGTACCACGATTCTTTTTTGTTTTATGAGTTATCATTTGTGACTAAACTCATCTGACCGCTAATGATTTGGGATTCCCAATAAATGGAAAATCCGTGGGAGAAATGTTCTACTGATAACGACATCTGTGATAGGCGTTGTTATCCATTTTTG